CCTGGTCATCTCCCCCTCCCACCCCCCTGTCATCTTCCGGACACATCACATCGGGGTCGTGCGTGAGGGGAGGGTGCGGGGTCGCGGCCGGCATTGGCAGCACCGCGCGGGAAGGTGCTCACCAAGACCAGCTGGGCGCAGGTGAGAGGGATGTGGAGGACCCCAGAGGAGGACCCCAGAGGAGGACCCCAGAGGGAAGGCCCCAGAAGATCCCAGAGGAGGACCCCACGGGACCCCAGAGGAGGACCCCCACAGGCTCCCAGAGGAGGACCCCACAGAACCCCAGAGGAGGACCCCACAGAACCCCAGAGGAGGACCCCACAGGATCCCAGAGGGAAGACCCCACAGGACCCCAGAGGAGGACCCCACAGGCTCCCAGAGGAGGACCCCACAGGACCCCAGAGGAGGACCCCACAGGACCCCAGAGGGAAGGCCCCAGAAGATCCCAGAGGAGGACCCCACAGGACCCCAGAGGGAAGACCCCACAGGACCCCAGAGGAGGACCCCACAGGCTCCCAGAGGAGGACCCCCCACAGGCTCCCAGAGGAGGACCCCACAGGACCCCAGAGGAGGACCCCACAGGCTCCCAGAGGAGGACCCCACAGGCTCCCAGAGGAGGACCCCAGAGGGAGGACCCCACAGGACCCCAGAGGGAAGACCCCACAGGATCCCAGAGGAGGACCTCACAGGATCCCAGAGGGAGGATCCCAGAGGAGGACCAGACAGGATCCCAGAAGAGGACCCCACAGGATCCCAGAGGGAGGACCCCACAGGATCCCAGAGGACCAGATAGGATCCCAGAGAGAGGACCCCACAGGATCCCAGAGGAGGGTCCTACAGGATCCCAGAGGAAGGGCCCTACTCCAGGATCCCAGAGATCCTCCCTCTTGTGAATCCTCTCTGTGAGAGTCTCACAGAGGAGGATCTCACAGAGGATTCACAAGATCTCAGAGGGAGGATCCCACAGGATCCCAGAGGGACGGTTCACAGAGAGAATCCCACAGGAGAGAATTGTGAGGCCATGCCGACGTGGTAGGGAGATGTGTCCTGGCTACAGTCACGAGGTCCCAGTGGCAGAAGCCCAGGGAGAATGGCCAGGAGACATGGCCCTTGTTTGTCCTGTGCTTGCCCTGCACAGACTTCGTTGGTGAGGACACATTTTCCCAGGAGACATGGATAAAGGATCTATGTAGCAGGCACAGGAGGACATGTCCACGGTGGACACGGGCCTGCCTGTGTCCTTGAGCACCCAGCCTGCTTTGGGAGATCTGCCTGCCTGTGTCCTTGAGCACCCAGCCTGCTTTGGGAGATCTGCTGTTTTCTTGTGAGATGGTCATACCAGAACTTTCCTGTAACGTCAGTGAAAAGCTGGTTCTGAGGCAGATTGCAGCCAGAAACCCTCCCTTCTCTTCCCCCGGCTCCTCCTGCTCCTGCTGGCCCCGTCACCCCTCTGCCAGGAGGGCACTGGCTGGGCCTGGGTCTCACAGTGGAAGCCCTAGGACAAGCTGTCAGCAGAGCTGCTCCGACGCGTATGGCACAAACGTGAGTGTGTGTGGGAGTGTGTGTGCGCACGCGCAGAGATGACAGGGTTGTACGGCACACGGGTGAGTTGTGTTGTGGCTGACGCTCACGGGTGGGGGCTGAAAGGCAGATGCTGCCTGACGCCCTCTTGCCTGACACCTCCTGCCCTTGCTAGGGTCTTCAGGGACTTAGGAAGATGAAGGCTTAAAAGCTGCTGGTTCATAGTTGGGCCCCAGTGGCTCACGCCTGTCATCCCGGCTACTCAGGAGGCTGAGATCTGAGGATTGTGGTTCAAAGCCAGCCTGGGCATCCTGCCAGACTCTTACCTGCAGTTAATCACCAGAAAACTGGAAGTGGCGTTGTTGCTCAAAGTGGTAGAGTACTAGCCTTGAGTGAAAAAGTTCAGGACAGCACTCAAGCCATGAGTTCAAGCCCCACAATCAACCCAAAAGAGTTGCTGGTTTGGGGAGCGCTGGGTGTGCTGCTGACCGTGGTAACGACCGTGGTAATGCCTTGGGCAGTCTGCAGGGACTGAGGGGATGAGGAGGGAAAACAGGCACATTACAGGAGTCTGGCTTCCTTTCTCAGCCCCGTCCCCCACCGGTGTCAGCTGGCTCGTGGGCCTCTTTTCCAAGTTCTCTGGGATCAGAGTTTCCTTGAGGATGACCCCTCACCTCTGCCTGTGCCTTCTTTTCCTCCCCCCTCCCTTGGGGGTGGCGAAGCAACAGGAAATTATATAGAGGAAGAAAATAAATCACGGGAGAGATGAAAATCTGAAATTTAAAGCCAGGTGGAGTCTCAGATGAGGGAGATTAATTATTAAGCACAAAAATAATGACATGCAGAATGCTCGGGGCTCAGCTACAATTTCGGTGTCATGCTTTGCAAGGCACGTGTGAGAAGAAGAACCTAAATAATTACCATGGCCAAGGTCTCGGAAACATCTGCTCTGTATAAAGACAAAACCCATCCTCACAGGAAGAATAACTTCAAAGAAAGAAAACTGTTCACTGGAGAGTGAACGGAAGGCCGGGAAAACACTAGGTTCCTTTTTCTCAGCAGGATTTCAAGGTCTTTGTTAACAGGAGAGGAAGACAAAGAGGGAGAAAGAGAGGTTTTGGGGAGTCTGTGAGTTGCAATTTGACCATCAGGGAGAGTCTGGAAGGATCGAGGCTCCCACTGGGTACGGAAATGTGGGGGTGCTGCAGACTCAGCTCCCTGCCCAGACCCCACTGAGTAAAAAGCATCTGTCCTCCAGACGGGGCATGCTCAACCTCTGCTGGTCACACCTGAGTCCCAGGAGCAGCTCAGGGGAGCCGGACCGTGGCCTAGCTGGCCATGTGCGTTTCACCCTCCTGTGTGCTTATGAGGTGTAACTCAGGGTTCACTCTTTCCTGACCAGGCTGAGGGAACATCTTCCCCAGCACCACCTCACGGTGGTCTCGGTGCGAGGCTGTGCCCCCTGCCAACCTGTGCGCTACGCACTCTGCAGCCATCTTGTCACCTGCGGGAGTGAGCGATTCCAGGTTCGTTCTTGTGCTTTGGCCCCTTGCCATCTGCCCTCCCTGGACCCGGGGTGCTGCCCCTGCAGCTGGACAACTGTAGCCACAACGCCACTTCTCACATTCTGTGATTAATTGGAGATAGCTTCATGGAATTTCCTGCTTTGAACTGTGATCCTCAAATCTCAGCCTCCTGAGTAGCTAGGATTACAGGGTGAGCTCCCAGATCTCGGCCTCCTGAGTAGCTGGATTGCAGGCGTGAGCTCTCAGATCTCAGCTTGCCTCCTTCCTTCCTTCCTTTCTTCCTTCCTTCCTTCCTTCCTTCCGTCTGTCCTTCCTTCCTTCCTTCCTTCCTTCCTTCCGTCCTGGGGCTTGAACTCTGGGCCTAGGTGCTGTCTCTGAGCTCTTCAGCTCAAGGGCTAGCACTCTACCACTTGAACCACAGCGCCACTTCCCAGATCTCAGCTTCCGAGCAGCTAGGATTACAGGCATGAGCCACCAGCGCCTGGCCATGGATCCACTTTTTTTTTTTAATAGGAAATACTAAATAAAGACAGTGAATGGAAGAAATACTTCCAGACATAGGACCCAAACAGAAATAGGAATGAAAGGAGACTTGGTGGTGAATACGTTGGGACCCCCGGCAGGGGGATGGATTCCTCCATTCGGAGTCTGGTGTGGACTTGCTGTGGAGCCCTGGAAAGGATAGAAGGAAGGGGTGTCTTCTGGCCTTCAGCATGTGTTTCCTTCTCTAGGCCTGAAGTCCCATGAAATATCTAAATATCTATTATTTTCTCGTGTGTGTGTGTGTGTGTGTGTGTGCGTGCGCACGCGCGCGCCCGTATGCGCAGTCATGGTGGTGGTGGTACCTGTGTTTGAACTCAGAGCTGTGATGTTTCCAGGCAGGTGCACTCCTGGAGCCATGAATCCAGCCTGCATGTCATCTTCTTTTATGTGTCATTTGGAGAAAGGGTGCCCAGCCCACTGTGATCATGGATCGATTACATATGGTTTTGACCAAGCGTGGTCTACATAAATAACCCAGGGTACTTGAGGCCCTTATTAATTCCTGTACACTCACTATTGAGCTCAGTGGATGTGGAGAAGCCCAGATCGGCCCTGTGTTAAATCACATGTGATCTCTACCTCCCCAAAGAGCAAGGTGAAAGGGACTGTGCTTAATCTAAGTGAAGAGCGAGATTTGTAGAAAGTTGGTATGTCTCAGCAGAAGCTGAAGCAGAAGCAAGGTCCTGGAAGAGTGCCTGTGGTGAAGCTCTGAACTCTGCTTCCTGAGTGGTCGAGCCATTGTTTTTTGTGTCCTGGATACCACAGCTCTCCTGTCACAGGCAGGGGCTTGCTACAGCCCCGTGCACTGGCTCTGCCCCGGGGCAGCTCCGTGACAGGCCGGTGACCCTTGATCTTGCAGGGCGGGGGCAGGCAGGAGAACAGGAGACAGGCCGGAGAAACAGACCCTGAACTAGAAGGAGTAAGTGCAAAGATCCGAACGGCAAAGGAGGTCCTCACGTACTGGAAATTGCTAGAAGCTCCAAATTTGAGGCATGGGTGAGGGTGTGGAGGGGATTTACTGATAAAGAGCTTTGAGGCCTTAGAGGATCTGGCTCAGGTTGCTGGGTGATGTGTGCCTAGGACCAGCTCTACCTTGTAGGTTTCTCTGAGCTACGGACTGACTGGTCCAGCAATGCGCTCATCACACCGGGAAAGGGCAGAGCAGGTGCTGCCAGCCAGCGCCTGGGGGCCGGACACACCTGTGAGGAGGAAGGAGTCGGGGCTGGCGGCCGTCCCGAACCAGCCCCTTGCTCCCAAAGCCCGTCTCCTCAGCCCTGGCCCTGCGAGGGGTGGAGGAGGCTGCTCTGCTTGACTGGAAAGTGGGTTGCTGGGGAGGCTGCCCCATGGGACGTGTCCCCTCCCTGGCGAAGGGAACCCACGTCCCGAGGCCCAGCGGGTTTTACGCTGTCCTGGTGTGGCTGCTCCTCTTGGGTCTGCGCAGCTGTCACACGACTCCCCGGGGGCCGCTGAGTGGCCGCCACCACGCCTCAAGGCTTTGCTTTCATCCTGCAAACCGGCAGGGGACTTGTCTTATTTATTTATTTATTCTTTATTGGCGGTGTTGGAATTTGAACTCGGGGCCTATGGCTTGCCAGGCAGGTGCTCTACATTGCAACTGTGACATGGAAGCTCAGTCACGATGATACAGAGAAGCTGTGTTTTCATAGGCTGACTTGGGAGTCTTTATTAGAAAGCCGGCCACTGCAGGTGGAATCCTGTCCCAAAGACCTGCAGCCCAGAAAGTAGCTTGCACAAGGCTTTTAAAGACAAAATCCACCTGTGTGGGATGGGGCCCTAAGCCCAACAAAAGCAGACGTCTCAGGGCGGGCCCTCTCTGGAGCAAAGCATGCCAGTCCTGGGGCTGCCGGCTGGCCGGCGTGGGGCTGCCCTGAGCCTGGCCTTGGGTGGTGCACGGTGTGCAGAGGTCTCCTCCCGTGCTGGTCCTGGGGCTGCCGGCGGGCCGGCGTGGGGTCCCTGGGCCTGGCCTTGGGTGGTGCACGGCATGCAGAGGCCTCCTCCCGTGCTCCCTGTTTTCTGAGATGCTGAGGTTTTGCAGGGGCGTTGTGTCTTGCCCCTGCCAGCATCAGGCCTCCTACCTCGTGGCCGTGGGGACGGCACTCAGATGCTCAGGACGCAGTGCCGTGAGGGCTCGCTTGCACCCGACACCACTGGGGTGCTCCGGCAGGAGGGCCAGCCCTCCCTACGGCAGGGCGCACCTTCTGCCTTTCAGGTGGAGACCCAGGCCCAGGCGCCCGAGGGTCTGTTCAGAAGACGGGCAGCAAGTCCGAAGTGACAGACAGGACCCTGTCTGTTCTCCACCAGGGAGGGCGGGAGGAAAGGAAATGGCGCCACCTTTCATTTGTTCGCCAAGTGTGGCTTTTTGAATTCTTTTTGTTCATTTGTGTGCTTGCTTTGATACATTCAGAGAGAGGATCCAAAGTTTTAAACGAATATGTCAAATGACCTATGGCCTTGTGTGGGGTTTTCTTGTTGTTTTTGTCAGTTGTGGGGCCTGAACTTTGGGCCTGGGCGCTGTCCCTCAGCTCTTCAGCTCAAGGCGAGCACTCTACCACTTCCCACAGCGCCACTTCCAGTTATGGTTTATTGGAGATAAGAGTCTCCTAGAGTTTCCTGCCCGGGCTGGCTTTGAACTGTGATCCTCAGATCTCAGCCTCCCAAGTAGCTAGGATGACAGGTGTGAGCCACCGGCGCCCGGCTCTTGGGTGGGTTTTTAAAGACAGTATTCAGGGTTCTGTGCTGCTGAAGAACAAGCCAGGTCTTTGGAGCGCTCTGGGCGGGCTTCGCCCGGGAGGGAAGCTGGGGAGAGGGTCAGGAGTGAAGCTGGTGCTGGTCCTGGCCCAGCGGCAGCCAGGCTGGGCTCGGAGTGCGTGCCGGGGGAGCCCCCAGGTGCCGGTCCCCGAGCTGTCTCCCTCCTCTGCTCTTGCCACGCACAGGCCCGGCAGCTTGGCCCTGTGCGGTGCAGGCGGCGTCCGGACCACGCGCAGGCCCGGCAGGTGCGGTGCAGGCGGCGTCCGGGCCCTCACGGCAGAGCCCCGCCTGGCGTCTCTGCGCCCAGCTGTGGTCCTTGCCCGCATCCCGCATCTCTCAGTGTCCCCTCTTCCTCTGTGCAGGAGCGTCCCTGGGCGCCTGTGCCCCGGGCACCGATGAGCCCAGCCCCGAGGGCCTCACCTCCACCTCGCTACTGGACCTGCTGCTGCCCACCGGCCTCGGACCGCTGGAGCCAGAGGAGCCCAGCGAGGCCCCCGGCTCCGGCTATCCCAGCGAGGACAGCGAGGAGTCCCGCATCCTGCAGCCCCCCCAGTACTTCTGGGAGGAGGAGGAGACGCTGAACGGCTCCGCCTTGGACCTGGGTCCCACTGCAGGTAGCACGCACGCACGGGGCGCGGGCTGGGCCGGGATGCGGGGCGGGGCAGGGCGGGGGCGGGCAGCTTCCCTCCCAGCCCCTCTGCTCTCTGGATTTTACCACCCAGCTCCTCGCCTGTACGTCAGGCTGAGTCTGGGACAGAGTGTTGGGTGAGCTGCCCACAGCCCTGGGCTGGCCGCACCGCGGGCGGTGTGCGTCCCAGCCCCGCCGCAGTGCCCTGGTCCTGGCTAGCGGGCTTTCCCAGGTCCAGGAAAGGCGGCGGCCGCAGCGAGGTCCCCTGGGGGCCGTTTCATGTGCAGAAAACGTTCTGCTTATTGGGCTTTTCCTAATTACAGAAGGAACGTGTGAATGTTGTAGAACATCTGAACAACAGAAAAATAACACAAGAAGGGAATAGAAGCATCTTTTGCCTAATAGTAAAAGGTTAATAGCGCCAGGCACCAGTGGCTCATGCCACAATCCTAGCTGCTCAGGAGGCTGAGATCTGAGGATCGAGACTTGAAGCCAGCCTGGCAGGAGAATCTCTGAGCACCAGAAAGCCAGAAGCGGAGCTGTGTAGGATAGTGTGTAGGCTTGCGTTCAAGCCTCTGCCCCCCCCCGCCCCCCACCACATGTGCGCGCGCACACACCCCCAAATAATAAAATAAGGGATCATTGCTCTTCACAGTTTTGGGGCAGTGCTGTTCGTCACTGTCGCCGCAAGGCTGGGACCGTGAGAGCGCGTGTCACACCGAAGCGTCTCATCTGTGAGCTTCCGTCCCCTTCAGTGTCCTTGGGGCCCCAGTCTTCCCGCTGAGTCAGACAGACCTTGCTTATGCGGGGCCTGGCCTGCAGCTCACAGGTGATGTCTCCCCTGCGGCTGGCCTACAGGCGTGCACCACGGTGCCCACTTGTGTGTCTTTGGCTGAGATGGGTCTTGTGACCCTGGCACCCGCATCCTCTTAAACTCAGCCTCCGGAGTAGCTGGGACCTCGCATGAACCGCCACCCCGGACATTGCTTTGCTTTGCATTTCCTTTTTGAGCTGCGCACTTCTTGATTTGACTTGATTTTGTACATAACTAATCTGGCCGTCACTGGCTTAGTGTGTGGTGTGAGAGGGCAGGCTCTTCCGGTGGGCTGGGGCGGATGGGGGGGGGGGGTGGGGGGAGGGCAGCTGCGTGCCCAGGGCCTCCTGGGCCGGGGCGGGGGCGGGGGAGGGCAGCTGCGTGCCTGGGGCCTCCTGGGCCAGGGCGGGGGGGGGGGTTGGGGGGGAGGGCAGCTGCGTGCCCGGGGCCTCCTGGGCCGGTGGACATCCAGAGACGTGTGTGTTCGTGCCGCAGCTGCCCCTCGATAGTAGGACGTGCTGCCACTCACTGAATCGGAGCCGTGTCGGGACGGGACGCAGCCCCTGCGGGGGAGCTGTGTCGGGGATGGGACGGGACGCAGCCCCTGCGGGGGAGCTGTGTCGGGGATGGGACGGGACGCAGCCCCTGCTGGGGAGCCGTGTCGGGGATGGGAGACGGGACGCAGCCCCTGCGGGGGAGCCCTGTCGGGGATGGGATGGGACGCAGCCCCTGCGGGGGAGCCCTGTCGGGGATGGGACAGGACGCAGCCCCTGCGGGGGAGGTGTGTCGGGGATGGGATGGGACGCAGCCCCTGCGGGGGAGGCGGGAGGGCTGTCTGCCTGGGCCTGTGTCCCGGATCAGTTGTTTCTTGCTGGCTGCTTTGCCTGCAGTCCTTGCCTTCCCCACCCCTCCCCCGCCCCCGTCCTGAGGGACAGCCAAGGACCCTGCCAGCCCGCACTGCACTGCCGTGTCAGCCTAGACTTCCTTCCTAGTGGCCTGGGCCTGGCCTCCCCTGCCCTCCCCAGCTTGTCTAGCTCCTCAGCGCAGGGCTGCGGCCCTCTGCCTGGCGGAGCTGGGCAAGGAGCCTCCTCTACCCATCCTACACGAGGTGGTGGCGCTGGCTCTCGAGCCGACGGCAGCTCAGGGCTGTCCGCGGCCGCCTGCCGCGCTGTCTGAGGCTCTTCTCGCTGGGCTGGAGCCCCGAGTGTCTGTCCTCACCTGAGAGCCTGCATTCCGGCGTGAGCAGGATGCTCAGGAGGCCCCGGGGGCCCTGTCCAGGCGCCTGGCAGGCAACGCAGCCACCAGGCTGGGGCTGAGAGGAGGAAGGAGCCCATTTCACAGGCCCCCGTCTGGAGAGACGGCTCTGCCACTGGACGGCCGCTGGGAGTCGGGCCCTGTGAGCCTCCTGCAGCGCCTGCGCTGTGGTCATCTTGGCAGAGCCGGGAAGGAGGCTGGCAGGGGCTGGCAGGAAAAGGAGGCTGGCAGGGGAAGGAGGCTGGCAGGGGCTGGCAGGGGAAGGAGGCTGGCAGGGGCTGGCAGGGGAAGGAGGCTGGCAGGGGCTGGCAGGAAAAGGAGGCTGG